AAATGTCTTCATGAGTGTTGTACTGACGCTTTTGGCCGCGTTGACCTGTATACTTGTTGCAGTGGCGTCCGTTTTGCACAAAGTTGGGATCCCGGTGTGCGACTACGCTACAGTACGCTTCATGGATGTAAATAGCTCTCACATTCTTGCTAAACTGTATGGTGAGGACAGTGAAATTTTTGAAGTAGCCAAAATATGCCTATCGGCAACTGGTAGTGGAGAGCTCCTCCAGAACGAGGACGGTTCAAACCAAATAGACGAACTTGTGGAAACATTGGAATCTAAAAGGAAGGAAATATGCAATTCGATTCCGGAGCCGGAAGAAACTGACTTCAATTTCCTCGGTAGGGAGGTTTTCGCAAACTTAGGAGAAGAAACAAATACTCTGGCTTGTCCTGATTTAATCAAAGCAGCCGCATGATCTTCCGGAAAATTCATAATGTTTTCCTATTATATACTTAGGTTGCGTGCCTGTCATGATATTCATCAGACTTTAAAAACCTTGATGAGGATGCAAGGCACCAGAGTTGGGCAGTATTATCGACGGAGACTACCGCCGGAACTTTTGAGGAAATCATCCAGGTAAGATATCTATACATAGACAAGAAAACAATGAGGCTGCGGCGCCTTCAGCGTCCTTAGCTGCTTCACAGTTTGGCTTATATAGTAGAAACAAAAAAAACGGGAGCATTAACCGGAGCAAAGATCGCCTTCGAGTACTTTTGAACCGGATGTTTTTGCTTCTGCAGAGCGGTATCCAAGATTTAGATTCCACAGTGACAATATCCGGCTCTAAGAAAAAAATATATGGTATGGAAAGTGCTAGAAGCGCAATCAGACCTTGGAGAATCAGCATCAGCAACGCATCAAACCCGGGGAGCTTGATTATCACAAGCGAGGCACCCACTGATGAACAACTTAACCAGTGGGCTACAGAGTGCAACAAAGCTAAGGTGAGCCACTCCTATACAGTTTCTTCCGGGGACGCTGAGGCTTCATGCATTTGCTCTTTTGCCCTTTTTCTCACAATTGAGCCATTCCTGACGGCTTCCGGTGAACAGGCCCTCCTTTTAGCCTTGTGTCTTCCGTCCAGGGTCAAGTGGAATGCGACAAGGTAAAGGCAGGCGTGCCGATACTGAAAAAAAGGATTTCCCTGCTGATTTCCCCTGCCCAGTGCTATTCTAGCTCAAGTGGATCTGTTGGGAGACCCTGCTCAGTTAAAGAGCTTATGGGAGGTTCGGGTGAATCCAGTGTGCCCCAAAATGCTCTTGACCGATCAGTTACCGCTGCTGCTGACTCAGGTGAGCTTTCAGGACTGTTTGGGATCTTAAGGGCAGAACTATAGGCCTAAATTGAAATTAAGGGCAGAAGAAAATACATTCTTCAGAGGAACTTTATTGCTGGCTGATTGTTTTGCTTTCCGATTCTAGTGAAGCGCCTGAGAGTCAAGATTGAAACCAGCAAAGATGCAGCATGTGAGTTTGTTTCTCTCCCTGCCTTTCCCTCGGCAGCCTATTGTTTCATGTTCAGAGAGCAAATGCCATTGATTTAGGATGGCCTTGGTACTATTGTGGCAATTTTCTTGGAGTGTGCTGTCAAACACAGGCGCTGTGGCGGACGAAAGCATTACCACTGTACAAAACGAAGTGCTCAAGCTTAAACAGGGCAGCAACTGCAAATTCACACGGGACCGGATGATCCGACTGACCAATCACTTGTGTTACAATGCTATAGATAGCCTAAGTACAGTAAGTTTGACTTCTCTTTCCTGCTTTTCACTCATTATGCTCATTTGGCTATGCACATGAGAAGAGAGCTGCATCCATTGTTACTGACTGTGGCGTGGGCGTCCCCCCGCAACCCTGCTTTTCCTTAGACGCTGGTGTTAGCTTGTTATTGGAAATGAGTATCATGCTTTGTGCAGGTGACTGCGCTATATTTTATACTGGCCCTTGCGATGATGCTGCTGGTAACGGTGCTTCTTATCCTTATTATCGAGTTACGTGATAATGATAAGTACGGATCCACACAGTGTGCTCCCGCAGAAGACCACTCAGTAGAAAAAGCGGGTTCAGATGTTGAGGCTCCCGTCGTGGCCAATCCAGAAGAAACGAAAGAAGCAGATGGTAAAAAAGAACGTCACACACGCTTCCAAATGTAAAGAAATGTCGTTGTGATATCCTGGAGGCGTACGCTTCACAGGGCAGTTCAAAGTCGTGCATATTCACCGTGCAATGTGCAGTGGAAGGTGCTAACTATGACTTGGTTACATTGGCTGTTTATGCAGCTGAGCAGGTTTAATCTTGCAATCGGGTCTGTTGTGATGCGTTTCTGTGCAGTTGATGGCGCCGTCGATCCGGATACTGTTCATGAAGTCCCTCCAGCAGCCTCGGAAGATCCGGAAGCAGCACCGCATAGCCCGGAGAGTGCTTCAAAGGAAGATTTGAAAGCAACTGAGGAGGGCCCGTAGCTTGGAAGGCTAATGAAGTTGCACGTGGGAAGCCTTTTTTCTTGTGCCCAGAGTGTTGGTGATTTAAGATGCTTCCTGTTTTAATGCATTTGACAATAATAGCCCCCTTTTTTATGTATTCACATGCAAATTAGCCTGGAGTATACGTAGAGAAACTGCACTCACTTGTTCGTTGTTTTTGGCTGCCAGCGATAAAGAAAGCAGCTGACTTTCCTCCTTCAGTTAGGCGCTGGATTCAGTGTGTGCAAGAAAAGCGGATCTGTATGTGCAAGAACCCACACAAAGATACAAACTATACGGGAAAAGCAGTAGAAAAGATGGAAGAGCCCGGCTTCTTGTTGGATCAGTTTGGAGAGCTGCATGAGTATCCCTTCAATCAAGTCGCTCTACGTGTTTTTCTTTTGCAAACATGTGTTTGGAGAAGCTGATATGCGTCAATATACTTTGAATTATTGTAGGATTGGCATTTGGAGGGACTTGTCATCGTTCTCGTGAAGCGACTTATGAATATGACGCACATACTAACAGCACGTTTGTGCAGGCTAATCGAAAGTATTTTGGCTATGACCTGCAACACAACTATGCGTTGCCCAGCTGCGCTGCCGTGCGCATCCGGATATGCGGTGCCGTGAAGCTAGAGGCAAAGAAGAGGACATTTAAGCCCTGGATGCCAAGTTATAAGCCTGTAGTGGCATGAAAAACATAACCAATTTTTCCAAATGGAACTGAGACAGGCGTCTGCGCGCCTGCTCGAACAGTTTCAGTTACTGTCGACAAAAGTTATAGGGAACCGAATATTTTTTAACGCGAAGCTTGCAATTACGCGTCCATTAAATCTGCACAGGTAAGGAGAGCTTGTAGAAGACACCAAACAGCTCAATGAAGGATCCGTTTTAGCAAATCGTGATCCGTGTAGCATAGGGTGCATCAGCTATCATTCAAAGAAACATCAAGACGCTTGCTGCCAAGTATCCAGGATGCGCTGTGAGGTATAGACATGGCAACAGCGAATTCTTCTCAATTTTCAGGACTCATTTGTGAAACATTATTAGATAACTGTACACCCAAGTGAATCAGTACCCAAAAAATCAGAGAGTATTAGACGATGGTGAGCGCACGAGTATATACCATGGCCAGCGGAGGCCAGCTGCATACTGAAGGAGTGGCAGAAATACTGAGACTTACTAAGTGGTGCAAGAGCTTTGCCGACGCAGCCTGGACGATAGCATATGGGATTAGATCTAGAGGCCGTCCATAAGAGTTGTACACCTAAATGCTTGCATACGCTGCTGGTGAGTTACTAGAAGAGGAATATATACATATACCCATCGGCTACCACAACCAGATCATCAGCCTCTCCGCGCAGAGTTAACAAGGAAGCGCTAGCCCTTGTAGCAGCCTTAGAAAAATGACACCACTTACCACGCGGTGAGAAAGCTGCTACCTACAGAAACCGTCACGTCTCAACATATTTACCGTGCGTTAGTATTTACAGTACGTAAGTGTCAGCTAATGCTTCCATAGCCGCCCGATGGCTGGCTCTTTCAGCATCGTATGGGTACAAGCTGCAAGCAGAAGGGTGATCGACTCTGGTGCAACGGACCCCCCTCATTCCGCTCTGCCAAGACTCGCAGTTGCAGATATACCGTCTCCTGAGCGTCATGTTTAGCCCAAAAGAGTGCTCAAAAATATACGGTATACTGGTGCACGCAGTGCATCAGAGAGCTTAGTAGGACGGCACTGATGCTACGGGCTGCGGAAGAAAGCAGGAATCCCTCTGCAGCACTTCGCACTTCACAACTGGAGCTGTTACCCCTACCTCTGCTACCAAGAACCATGGCACGCTTGACAGGGCATGGATGCCCTAATCTTCGATTGCATTTCCGGCTGCTCCCAGGTGTAACCGTGTCTTACGCCTTAGCGTGCAGAAGCGCACTGAGCGATGTACGTACAGCTACACCAGGACCCTAGGGGTAACATCACGCTACCAAGAACTAATGCTTTCGCATTGATATTCCAATGCGCAACCTAAATCTGGTTTACGACCTGTTAACAAGCTCAAAACTACAGCAGGAAACTTCTGCTTGCCCGTCTGCATTACACTGAGTGGAGCAACAGAGTCCTTGTAGCGGGCCGTTCCGCCATTATTCGGCCATTTAGTGTTGCTCACAGCACATGGAAATCTTCTCCATGTATTGGAACGAGTAGACCTGTGCTTCTAATGACGTGCTACACGATCCCTTCTCCACTGAGTGAACAGCCATGCCCTGCATCTGCCCGGATCCGCCCCTACTCAAATAAATGGTTGTTTCTGCTTTTCTTCTGCCAGGAAGCTGGGAAAGTGTGTGCTTACATCATATGGTATTCTGGTACACTCTAGTCCAGTCTCTTGAGACGACGCAACTTAGTCAAAGCGATCCGAGCCTTACGACCAGTACCACTTAACAACACTGAATCAAACTAAGTCACGCAAACATTTGTTTCTGGATGTTGCTTTCGTGCCCTACTTCAACACATGCTTTAAGAGCAAATATTTCCACGTGCTCTCAGCAACAGTAAACGGGCGAAGAAAGCGGAGCGGCCCACTACACCGACTCCTTTGCACCAGTCAATATAGTGCTGACAGAACAAGGAAGTAATGACCAGACGCAGTGGGTTGCTTTTTTTAGTCCCTTCAATGCCGATTATCTGCTTGTCAAATAGCGGACAAATTGGCAAAAGGAACGCTGCAATAATCATAGAGATCTGGGAGCTGCACCGCATGCATGTCCTTGGCTGCCCGAGGCTGCATGTAGTTGCTGTGCTGTGCCTTAGCTCACTGAGTGTAGTTTACCTTTTTCCCCCTTCAATACTAATTTTAACTGAAAATTCCCTCATACGAGGGATTTTCGTGTGGATTAACTCTTGGACGGTTCAACCATTGTCGACTGGGCCAGTGGATTACTTTACTGCGTGTCATGCACTCTGTGGCTTTCTCTACTGTTCTCGTCTAGCCGGAGCTTATATTTATACCTGTATACTCACCATACACTGTGATTGAGATCTGCATATCATCTGGAGGGCATCACTCAATCAGGACGCACAGTCGTAATTCCCGCACGATCCGCCTGAGCCACGGGGCACAACTGCTCGTTGCTTTACGATACTCGCCTTCCACGCAGTGTGTGTTGAGGGTTCATAGAGGCCTGCCTTGATGTATAAACATATTTTTTTAGCTCCACTTGCTGTGGGGAACAAGGTGCCTCTCGCAAACGTCCCTGCGATTTACTGCTTCTTCAATAACGCGTCAAGCCGACTGTAGACTCCTCTATTGGAAAACGACTTTTTTGACGCTGGGGGTTACTTAAACGCAGCGTGTGGTTGGGGGGACAGCGGCCCGCTCCTTTACGATGGACGCTTCCGAGTTATTTTCCATCTCATCGAGGCAGCCAGCCCGAATGCCTCCAGATATTAAAGAGCTTCCTCCGATAACGCGAGGCCGAAGCAGCAACTTTCCTGACCGAGTTGGCAGCCCATCAGAAAGCCCTCACCAGTCTCGCCGGAAGTCGGCAGGTTGTTCTATGAGGCCAGTCAAGGAGGAACGGCAACAAGCGGAACCAGAGCATGCGCCTGAAGGGTCGGCAAACCACGCCAACTTGGATTATGAAACCGAGGCAGCTACTGAACATAGACCGCATTCACGACAGCCCCGTTCAGCGTCGTCCGCTCGACAGCGCACGGGTCGACACCGCGACGCACAGATGCCACACAGTGGCAGCAGCAGCAGGCGCTCAAGCTGCAATGCGTGGGTTTTTGCTACCAGTGTTTTGATGAAAACAAAAGTGGTGCAACTACTTGCTTTTTATGCTTACTAGACGTGTCCAACTGCCTTGATTTCAGGTCGTGTGGGCCGTTGCCAACGTGGGACGAATTTTTTGAGAAATGCGAAGACATCAGACCTTTAGAGAGCAGCGACGTAAGACAGCTTCTTAGCACACTAATGTGCTCCCTTCACATGAGCGGCATAGGTAGCATGAACTTGAAATCTACTTCGGTTTGACTGCAAGTTTCAGAACCTTTGGAAGGCTGGTGCTCGATGCCTGTAGAACAACGGCTAATACGTTTAGGAACCTGCGACTCTCACATTTATCTAAAGATGAGCCTGTTGCCCGTTGCGGCATGTGCGTCAACGCAGACATTTCGTGTCTATTCTAGTGGCTCGGCTGGACCTCTTCTCTTCCTTCTTCACGGAGCAGGTCACACGTCTTTGAGCTGGGCATGCTTCACGGTAGGCGAATCAGTGTCTTGGTGCACTTTCCCCCTGAAAAGACACCTATGAAATTCATTATTGCGATTGGGGTTTGCTTCCGCTGCGATGCATTGCTGCTGAATTCAGCGTCTGCTTCGCGATGGCTCGCTCCCGCTTCGTGTATTCGCGTATGATGCAAGAGGACACGGCGCGACCGTGTGCGCTGATGAGAAGAATTTGTCAGCAGAGGTCCTGACGGAAGATGGCATTGCAATCGTAAATTTTCTTTTCAATCGTTTGACTCGGGAGGAATTGCCGCAGAGGACCGACATGCAGAAAGGACCAGTGCAGGATGGCAATGCTCGAGGAGAACCAAGTGTGCATCGAGACCCGGATTCTTTGCCGTCTGTAATCCTTGTGGGCCACAGGTTCGCACAGCCTGCAGAAAATTTGTGCCGCTGAAAGAACTCCAACTGGCCTTGGAGTGGGTTCTTTACGTAACTGTGACGATGTTGTTTCTGCTCTTTTCATGTACAGCATGGGTGGAGCCATTGCCACGAGAATGGCCGCGTCGGGCCGAGTCCCACACCTAGACGGTTTAATGGTTTTAGACGTTGTAGAAGGTACGCGCTTCTACCTGGATGGAGCGTGCTCTCTCTGTAGCGCTGGGCGTTCGGTTATCTCGCCACTGCTTACGTCGGGCGGCCAAGCCACATGAATTATCAGCCAGTGCTTGATGGCCGTGTGTTCTATGTGGCTTCAAAGGATATTTTGACACTCTCTGTTTACGTTTACAGGAACTGCACTGGCGGCTTTGCCACAGATGGCGGCCTTCGTCAGTCGCTTCCCTAGTCTTTTCACGAGCTGTAAAGAGGCTGTGAATTGGAGCATTTTTGCTGGGCTCTTGTGTAACAGGAGCAGTGCAGCGATCTCAATACCCTCGCAGCTCGTGAAGACTACAAGAGGTGCACTGCCCGCCAGCCATAAGGGTGCAGATAAGGGACCCCCGGACGAAGAAGTTTGGTGAGCATCATAAAGCTTGGCCTCGTCTTCAACTTCTTTGGTCTTTAGCTCGAACGCTCTTCTCAGTGTTTCTCGTTTGAAGTGAAGGAAAGGCGCTGAACTATTGTCTCTGCTGGAACTGTTCAGGACATGGCGAGTTGACGTAATGGCCACAGAGCCATATTGGGAGGGTCCGTGCTGTCCCTCTACGCCTTGCTCCTTCAGACAACGTGTTCGCTAGGCCTTACTGTATACCAGCAATGACACTTCCGCCGATTTCCTGTTATGCTGTTCAGGTTGGTTCCGCGGGATGTCACATGCCTTTCTGTCGAGCCGCTGCGTCAAGATTTTAATATGCTCAAGCAGTGACCGTTTGGATAAGGAGTTGATGATAGCCCACATGCAGGTGATTAATTTTTCCACGAATGATTTAGTCTTCTGTATGCACTTGCTCAGTCTATATGTCTTCTGCGGAGAATTAGGACCTGCATCGCCATTGCGTCTGGCGACTCATCTGTGCAGGGGAAATTTCAAGTGCAGATCGTCAGCGGCTCAGGTCATGTAATCGAAGTGAGAATAGTCAAATACTTGAAGGCCTTGTTTCTGTAGTGGAGTTCTTAGCAATAGAAATTCTACGTTCTACCGTACCATGCGTTCTGCACAAGTCCTCGTTTTTTGCGAAGCCCTTTTGTTTAGGGGTTCCTGTGGTTGGTAGTTTTTTCAACCTTACCTGACACTGCATTTGCTGTGGCGAAGTGAAGCTAATGTTTCGGATCATGCCTGTTTCGGCTGCGTCGCTTTTTTCAGGAGGATCAGCCCGCTGAACTCTGCCGCGTCGTCCAGACATTTATTACTCGTTATCGGCTTCACCTTCCTCCGAGCCAGCGCGCAGGATTGATACGTGGATAAAGGCTGTCGGTTCTAGCTGGAGGCGCCATTATGTCTGTGTCACATATCATCGCCACCGTAGCGCCGTCTCCACAGCAGCGCCTACTGAGTGCTCAGCAGATGCACACCAGTGGTTTTAAGTAAAAGTGGTGTGAATGGTGTTTTCACTGCAGTACTGTGACGAGCGCCTTTCAAGCAGATTACCACTTTCTAGAGCAACTGCTCTACTTGGAAAAGCAAATGCCTGCACGCGCTGTATTTCCACGTTGCACTGTTGAGGCGGCACAGTCGGTGAATGTAGCAGCCAGGAAGTTCAAGTAGCTTGAGAAACCTCATTTGGTACGGCAACAAGTGGCTGTGCAGGAAGACGATGCCTCGTAAGAAAGATTTGCTCACTGGCTTCCTCACGCTTTTGCAAGATGCGCTGTAGGAAGCGGGAATGTGGCCGGCAGCCGCTACTTGTAACCCTCTTAGGTACTATTAGAAAACGTGTTCATCCGCCATGTTTTTGACTGAATTGCTGATATTTACGATATCGACGTGTAGATAGCAAATGGTAACTTGACAGGGCGCCGATGGGTGAGATCACATGTACTTGGGGACTGAGGAGAACTCGATTTGTGGAAAATTTGTACATTTCAAGGTTCTTTTTCCTAACTTTTAGTAGCGATAGAAGTTTGCTGCCTGTATGCAAAGTCAAGCTCTCGGTGGATACTGCGCCAGTTAGCAGGAAACAATGCGTGTTGGAAAGACGCAAATTCCTGTTTTTAACTCGCAGTGTTATGCGGTCCAAAAAGAGAATATTGCTGTGTGGTTCTTGGTAAAGAGCACTCCCCAACAAGCATCGGCCATAGTTTTTACTAGCAACTAGGGTGAGTAAGCACATCCTGCATGACAGTTGACGCCTTTTTCTGCTCGACGCCTTCAGGATGGGTATCTAGGCTGCATCCATGCCATAAATTCCCAGGCGTGCCACTGAGAAAGACGCTAACCGGCAAGCCTGCCAAACGGTCACCTGGGTAACACTGCATCTAACTGAATAGAGCTGGCCCAGAGTATTGCTCAATACGTTGCAACAGTGCGTCAGCGAAAGCAGCAGTTTCAGACCTTGGCGGACGGGAAGCAGGCGCATTTTCCACTGAGGGTACTCGCAGGAACCAGGGACGTTTGTTCCTTGGAGAGGCTTCTTTATACTACCGTGGGAGGAGTTGGGACTGCTCTGTGCCAGCAGGGACCTGTGAACGTTCGGTGACAGGCTACTGTTCGCAGCGATGGCGCTTCGTGCGTGTCGTACTGGCAGATGCGTCCACGTGCACGTTACACTTTGCTCTCGCTTGGGGCAGCGAGCCAACAAAGCGGCAGCTCTGATTTAGAGCTACTCAGCTGCTCATCAACGGGCTGGCCATGCTAGCTCAGTGTTCCTTTCTCATAAACGGACTGCATGGAACAAGATCTGCACAGATAGTTGTTTCCGCAATGCGCAAACCTATTGGGGCGACGGGGCTGGGTACCGCGGCGCAGCTGCGTTACCGTGGAGGAACGCCACAGCAAAGCGTTGGCAGCCGCGTCTCCTTTGTCTCACTTCTGAATTTGAGCTGGTGGTGCATACACAAAACTGTGATGTCAGCTTAGCCCTGAAGCTGAAGAGCTGGTTATTCGCCTCGATTTCCGTTTCAACGCTATGATTCGTCACCATGGTTTAGCTGCGTCAATTTGTGCAAGGCGAAGCACCAACAGAAGCAGCCCTCATTACTCCTGCAGCTATGAAAGAAGTGGCGCTTATATGGGCGCAGTTACTGTTTGGCAACAGTTGCGAAAGTTTACGCGCTGCATAATCTAGAAAGCAATAATCACTGCCTTATTCATAGGCAACGTCACTAGATATGCGCCCTCTCGTTAGAGGAGGAATTCACTAGTACGAGCATGATGATCCCCAATCGTTCCAGATATTTCAGGAGTCCCTGGGATAAATACACTAAACGTTTAATCAGTGGATATGTGGGCTCGTCGCCTCTTGTGTGTCGAACGTACAGGGGGACACCGGATTCAGTGTGCTGTACGGTGAGATACCTGATGCAGAGTTGTTCGGTTCGCACGGCTCGATCCAGCAGTGCACTGCCAGACCCTGGGCATTTCATGTTCAACCGTCGTGCCGTGAAGCCAAGTTGAAGAAAATGTAAATACCGTTGACTCCGAGAGCAACATCCGGACAGCCACTCACTCATCAACGATTTGCAGTGCCAAGGCTCACGTTCCTGATGGCCTCAAGCTGCAAAGAGTTGCTTCTGGAGACTCGCTCTCTATCCAAAGCTTGGCGGCGCGCCACTTTCTTCGAACGTACTACGGACAGCCTGAGAAGCCAGTAGCAAAGCGGCCCAACGCAAACGCGATAAGCTACTAAAAGGCATAATGCATTGTCTAATCCCTCATATGCTCCTCCTCCTCAGTGTGATTGTCAACGATTCTCACTTCATTCGTGTCCACGGCAGCCGGCGTCCGTGTCTGCGCCTCCCGATCCCACCTCCAAGAAGGCGCGGAAGTTGTTCCAAGTGAAATACTGGAACCCACGCCTCTTTAACACGCTGCTCATTGAGACGCGAATCCAGTTCTCCGCTTGTGAAGTCCTTTGAATGAGCATCCTCAAATGCTGCAGCTTCTACGACGTAATCTGCATATGTTGTGGAGACGTCAGCTACAAAGCCGTTAACACTTTTAACGACCCTTCCCACCACCTGCATCAATTCACAGACTGACAAGAACAGTGCGCAAAGCTACTTCTCAAGACCTAGAGGAAACTGCAGTATAATTCGCTCCGTCTTACAGTACGCTCACCGGTCATAAGCAAGAAAGTGACATGCAACTTCTGCATCTTGTACTGACCTCTGGATTTGCGCCTGTTGGTAACAAGCTCAGAAGTAGGCGACGAGCAGCCAATGAACCCTGGAGGCGCTAATGAATTTCCACACAGTGAAGCATCAGGATGGTAAATATGAAATAGAGCGAACTTTTAAAGAAACGAAACGGGAAACACTGAACCACCATTTGACTGTGGGGCTCACCACGTGGGTGGGGTCATACAGCAGAAGCGGAACAAATCCACGCCTTCCAGAGAGAGCTGATCGGTCGCTGGCGCTCGAGAGCTGTAACGCACTGTGCATGCTGGCCCCTCCCAGCTTGAGCAACACGGTTGCAAAGGCTTGGTCCCCGGCCTTGTCATGAAGTCGCTGTGCCAAGTCTATCAATGGTGCGTACTGCGAGTAGGGCACGTTTAACATGTCCGCTACAAGGCAAACAAGCAAATGTTTAGGCTTATGCAGTGAATCTAAAGTGGAGCACAGGTCTGGAACTTCACACTGACAGGTGTTGCTCCCCGTCGAGGCAACTGCCCTACCTGCTAGTTGTTTTAGTGTAAGCTCCTGACAGTCACCAACCGCTGGCAGTGGCCGGCGCTCGAAGCTGACGTGGCTTAGCTGCTCGATGCCCCGAAGTTTACGCAGCTCTGCGCTGCTGCACAATACAACTGATGTCCCAGGAGTCTGGCCCCGGCCTGCACGGCCAGCTCTGGAGCACACAAAGAATACGAGAAGCAGTGCTTGGCAGGCGCTTGACAGGTTCAACAGCATTAAAAGTTCGCTGGCCTTAAACGCAGGCACATTGCTTCTAACACCCGTAATTAAATTCAAGCAGCCAGGTCGTGCAATGTAGCTGTGTGCCTGAACATCAGGCACTTTTTCCTGCTTTCCCACCTATGTGTATAAGTCTCAGCAGTACTTGGCGGGTGCATGTGGACCACAAGGACGACGGAGGGTATATCAAGGCCCCTGGCTGCTACGTCAGTGCTGACGAGTACTGACGTCTGCAGGGTTTCATGCAACGTAAGTATTTATCCCGAGTGTATGAAATTCCACCACTGTTGTATGAACCACTTGCCAAATTGTGGCTTATTATGGGGTTCGGGATTAGCAAAGCTGTGCCGACGTCGCTTCTCGGAAACTCACATCTCCCTGTATAAAATTCTGCATGGCACGCTGGCGATCTTGCGTATCCATATTTGAATGCACTGAAGAAATAGACCACGAATCCAGTAATGGGTGACTTTTGATGTAACACACCTAGGAACAAGCAATGCACACCTAGTTCTGCACTGAGGAGCTGCACCAACAAAAGGGCTCGTTGAATTTGTAATATGCCTACGAGCTGAAAAAACGCTAACCTCTTCTTGAGAATCGGCGAAGACAATGCACTGCGGCGGCATGTCGTCTTTGGAGAGCTTTATGCCTGTTGATGATGCTGATTCGCCTGGAGGCTGCTGATGGCCCGCTGAAGTGACCGCTGCCTCGAGAGCTTCCAAAGAGTCACTTGCTAGATTGTTTGTCGGTAGCGGTGCCTCTGCCTCGTCATCTACAGTGCAGCTCTTCTTTGCTGAAGCTTCAGCTGATCCCCTATTTCTCATGTTTGGTTGCCTCTCTCCAGCAGTCACACGTGGAATGTAGGCTCTCAAGGTCTCCGCCAAAGCCAGCATCTTCCGTTCCTTTTCCATGTGCTCTTCTTCAATCGTTTGGTTCCGTCGTTGTTCGCCAGTTTTCTGTGGTGCTGGTGTCGTTCCAATTGCCACGCCTTCAACATAGCTTCCGTCGTCTCTCAAGGCGTCACCTAGACTCTGTGAAGGAATGAAGCATATGTGGTGCGTTACGCCGGCCCCCAATACTGCACTCCCTGGTTGAATTACACAACAATGAGCAGGCAGCTACAACTTAATCGCATCAACGAAGGAAGATGTGTAATGATATCGTATATGCTGAAAGCTTACCTAAGGCGCCCTTCTCTGACGTGTCTCCACTTTTACCCCTTGTGGAATTTTCCTCAGTGACCAGTTCTCCGTCTTTCACATGTTTGGATGCATTAAGGAGGTTTAATACCTCAACCTGTGGGAAGTCTGTTTCGAAGATGGAAAGCATACTTTGCGTTAGGACAGCACTAAAGCAAAGTAGCTGGAGAGAGCTACTGAAGCACTGCAGACCTTCGCCAGACAAATGTTTATCACCTTTGCCATCCTTACAGCCGAGCGCAGTCCGGTAAAGGAATTGTATTTTCGAGTGGTAGTCACGACGCAACAGTGCGTCTGCTTCATCAACGACTAACACACGCAGATTGTTTAAGCTAAGCGGAGAAGGCTCAAGCGGTCCTGATCGTTTTGTCCCCATGCCCCGTGGGTGCCTAAACCCTGTCAGGGCGCACACTCTATCTGGCGTGGATACCACAATTTTAGCGGGAATGTGCTGCAGCAGCTCTTTATGTTGGCGCATGGGAGATGTAGGATCTAAGAGGATTACCGGTGCTTGCGGCAGCAGGGCCATCGCGACGCTCGTTACCTGCCTAGCCAGTTCCCGTGAAGGGACTAGGATCAAGGCAAAAGGAAACGAATATGCTTCAGCCGAAGTATTCAGCGTATCCTTCATCTCCTCAGCCACAAATCTCTGCAAAATAGGGATTAGATACGCAAGCGTTTTCCCTGCACCTGGTCGTGCGGCAACAATTAGGCTTGTGCCTGCCAGTGCACGCAGAAGGCAATGCCTCTGGACATCGGCTAGCTTCCTGATTCCTAAGCGCTGCAGTCCTTCTTGTAACTCCGGCGATATGGGGAGGGCAGAAATTTTGGCAGCTGACAGTCCAGTAATCGCCCGGACTCCTGGCTGTCTCCGTGCGTCACCAAAATGTGACGCTGAGGAGGCCGATATCGCATGGCAACAAAAGCCCTTGCAGATTTTGAAGATCCGGCGATGCCGGTGCACGCAAGAAAAGCTTCCTGCCGTTGCACCGATCGCAAGACGGCTTGGGAGTGCTGGCCGAGTGCATGACCTCCCCCAACTAGCGAGGCGAAGCTCACCAGAGAGGTTTCCAAGGATATGAAATGACCTCTGCATTACTCCAAATATACCATTTCTGCAATGTTTGTCTACATTACAGTTTTCAGTTGGATGCTACTCTCGAAGTGAGTTTTCCACGCCACTCCCGTGGAGTTTCTCTTCGACGCGGGAAATTCGCCTACAACAGCGTCCGTTGATTCAAAATCGACATAATGGTAATTTCAATCGTCACCATCACGAACAAGTTGACGGGTCAGCCTGCGTGGATCGTCCATGAATCTACGTAAACAAATTTACAGGTGGCCAGGCAAAACATTGGGCATATGTTGGAGGAATGGGTGCAAAACTCCTAAGATCATCAAACGCGCTTAATGAATGCCATGATTTCACTCAGTGGATAGATTCAAGCGGAAAGGATGCTACTTTTCTTGGTTGGATTAACAGAAATCTCGAAGGAAGCCCCGCTTTGTTGATAGCAGCGTCCCAGAGGAATGCGAGCGTAATATGCCATACTTATCAATACGAAAGCGGCATCAGGTATATGATCATTAATCAGCAGTGAAAGAACATCCGGTACTGCTGCAGCTGTTGTTCCGCATTAGGTTCTAGACATTGGGCCCCATGAGTGCTCTGCCGATTTTGCCCTGCCCAAGATTACGGTCCCATGTGCTATAAATTTTGCCGTATATTGTTAGAATATTGACGACAATTGTATAGAGGGACAAAATTATTCCTTGCAATAATTTCTGTTGGCGTCATACCTAAATTGTCTGCGTAGCCTCTTTGTTGCGCCCAGTGGTGTATTGTAACAATTCGCGGAGATTTGCTCTAAATTATAACGGCTACTTTATGGTAGCCATGTTCTATTAGCAGGATATGATACATGTAGGCCTATCATAGCCTAAAATATAGCGTATTTACATAGATTGCAGGCTGGTAGTCTGTGCTAGGGTGTGAGATGCACGGCTGAGTGAGACGTCCAGGGTAACTTGCAGGTTCTCAAGCAAAGACCGATCTCGACGCCATAAATCCCTAAAAGAGCATTTGATTCGGTCTAAAGAAAAGTGGAGAGGCAATACAGCTGTGTGTCTGGGGGCAGAAAAACAAAAGAAGCAGAGGACGAGAATCGACGCAGAACTGCCGGGGTTCTGATGATTTCACGGGGATTTCACACGCAATATGCTGCTTTTGGTCAAGCCCCTCACGGTGCCCGTACAAGCAGCTCATTGTTAATTCTGATCAAGAACAACGTGCGGAGAATAATTTCAAAAGGATTTGTCAGGTATGAGGTTCAATCGTGGCGACTCCACAAATTAGCAGTCTTCGAACAATCAATTCGTCTGCATAGGAGGGTTAGTTTCTAAGACTTTACTAACACAGCGCACAATGGACGCCATCCTGCTGAAGCAACAACCGTGGCAAAGTTTGCGCATATTTCGGTTGCTAGCATCTACTGAAACATACAATTTTCACGTCTTTAGGCGCAACCACGTAGTGAGTTGGTACATACTCCTTCGTGGGAAAAAATTAAAACCGACAGAGGAAGTGAGTTTCATTCAGTCTGACCTTGGTGACGGCAAAGATCTTCGTAGAGTGGGCGTTAGCTCCTCCACCGTAGAGGAAGTCACATTATATGGTAAGTGGATTCCCGTGGTAGATCTCGTGAGGAGTAAGCAAAGACGTTGCCCCACGCCTCTGCCGCTCAAAGAGTCAGGTACTTTCGGTGCAAGCATATACAATGCTCATTCGCCGCATAAGATGCTTTAGGAGGAGCGGTGGCCATGCTGCATGGCTCCAACAACACCTGGCTTCGCTGATCGATAATACGAATCGTCACTAGCAACTCTGACATAGCTACGGTTTGGCTAAGTGACTTGCCACTCAGTTGTTCTGTTACTATAGAGATGCGCTTCCTTAGCAGTCTCCTGTTGGAGCCATTTGTTCCTGCTGTATCACCGCTGCCTCGCCCTTCAGTAAAGGCGCGCAACAATCTTCGTGCATGTCATCGTTTCCAATTCAATTTCTAGCTTCCAATATCCTAGTCCACAAAAGTTTGGACTTAGTTGCCGTGATGCCAATGCCTAGGAAATGCTACACGAATGCATTTGCCGCCTCAGGCATGACCCCAATAGCACTGTAGCTCTCTGGAATTTCTTCTTGAAAGGCCCATTGCTGGCACTTTCTAGACACAGAAAACCACGGGACTGGGCTTTTGCTACAATATGGGTACGTGGGAACCCTTCACTGTGTTTCGCACAGTTTACAGAAGCTTAGGGTCCAACCGTTTTCTCCGCCCACTCGAAGACACCTTTAGTTTGGTGACTGCTTGCATCTGTCGACAGTTACCTGCAGTTCAGCTGTTTGGCGACTACTCCACAGGCAGCTGTGAGCCGTTTGTCCTTCATCGTGCCTCAACTGGCTTCCTGGCCTCTTTTCAGATCTAAACTTTTCATAATTATCACCAGTCATGCCTTATAAGTCGGTCCCCGTGGCGATGTGGTGGGCTGCCTCCTTGGCTACCTCTGGAACTCTAGTCAGAATTGCTACCTTGCTCAAGGTGCTGCATAGACTTCTTACCTTTAATTCCCCCTTATTGTTGAGGAAATGGCTTCTTCAAATGCTTCGTCTTTCCGTCATTTATCACACAAGACCATAAACGTGTATCTGCAGACCTCACCATGGCTGCTGAGCTGGGCGCATCTAGTGTTATTCCCATGGAGCTCGTTCCTTTTGGCCCGTCCCTGTGCACTCCCTACGGACTTTATGAGGCCAAGCCACTGGCTAAACATCATTTTGGGCTGGATTTCACCGTCGTTAACGCAAGGAAGTCAAAGGTCAATTTGCCCATGTTGGCAATCAACAAATGCAAAGTGTACGCACTTGCTTCCAGCTCTTTTGTCGAAGATTTTTGTTGATCACGGCTATCACATAAGCTCGAAGTTGAGGTGTCAATAATCATTTATAATGCCCGTTTTTTTTCACTTCATATTCTTTTATAACGCCATACACCTAGTTGGCAATTTTGCAGGCCTGTCTTTACCACGAGCTCAGCAGAAGTCCCCCAGAAAAATGTTTTCGCTCTATAGGTTTCTTTGTCGAAAACTTCCATAACTACAGCTGTGCAGAGGTTCAATGAAGGAACGTGGGCGAAAAATATTCTGGCATTTGTCTTATTCAGCCCTTCAACCACCTCAGGGGCCGAGAGGTAGTAGAGCATTGCCAGGTTCGTTTGCCACACATTCCCGCCAAAATAAAGGAAACAGTGCAGCAGGCCACAGTTTCACGCTGCAAGTGGAGCGGAGGGAAAGCGCCGAATTGTTTGTTGTCGCGCTTTGCCTCTCAGAAATCTTCACCCTCCGTGCAGAGAATGGTGTACACCATACTCTATTTATAATGCCTCAATACCTAGTAGAAGTTCTACGGCTTTTCTGAGAGACACTTGAGCAGGCTCTTGAATTTCTGCCACTCCGCATATACGCGTTATGAGGCGCTAGTAAATGGGGCATCTTCCCAAGGGCCAGATCTTCATCGAGATTGTTCGATCAAAAGTGGTCCGCAGAATCGATCCACTCTCAAGCCCTAATAAACCCCTATGTGGTTTCCCATGGTATCACAGTTGGCACCTCTCTTGTGTAACGCCGTGCCTACAATGCTACGATAGGAGCATTCGAACTCCCGTCTCCCATGGAGATATCGCCCTTGTCCATCTTTAACTAGCAGTATATATCAGACACTTTAAGGCCATAATACACTTTCCTGACAACAAGTAATCCCACGTCAAATGTACAGAGCAACTTAGGAGCCACATTTTTCTCCAGGGATACATATACTGCGGGGAGACACCTACTGAGGAATGTGGGGCTACTACTGAAAGCTACTCCAACAAATCCCTCTTGGGGGCTCCCCATAGACGGCCACCTCTGGAATTCCAGGAAGCTCGTTTTTGAAGAATAAATCCCTGGAAGGCCTATCTGGAAACCACCATTGAAAGCCACGTCGGGGCGCCCAGAGGAAGCTTGTTCGGGTACTCCTTAGCAAGCTACTAGGGCCCCTGCTCATTTGCCTAATACTTTATTCTCCCAGTGCATTTACATTCGACCACAGATATCCATGTCTTGCGATGTGTGTAAATTCGAGAATCTTATTACATTGTCAGGTGCGCTTCAGATAAAGTAGTTTCAGGATGCTACGCAGGTAACATGGTAACTGCCATGGAATGTCGTTTAAAACGAGGGGCTGATACTTCGCAGACACTAGATTCCTGTAGTTTCCTTAGCAGTTGTACTGGCTTCACAGAAGGGTATGTTGCGCGGATAAAGTTCTGTCTCATTCAGCAGCTTGCTCACAAATAGGGCTGTGCCATCAAGTAGTGCGATTTACAGTTTCTTCGAAAATCCAAGCGAGGCAGGTGCAGTACTCATCAAATAAAGAAAACGTAAAGGTGAACTAGACTAAAAAAGTTTTGGCGAGGGCCGCGTAGGCCCAATCAGTCCAAAACTGACGAATGGCAACAGCAGCGAGAGGGAGCAACGTAAACGATAAGTAGAAGACAAGGCTACGAGGACGTCGGACGATTCAGTTCTTCCACTGCCATAGAAAATTTCAGTTACCTCCGGGGAAATGACATCTGCAGCGACGGCTTGACTGTCAAATGCTCGCTTAGAGTACACTTTATGCATCGGTCGCCATCGTCAGTGCTACTCCCGCAAGTACCCAGCGTCGTTCCAAATCATCCGCACTCATCCTGATCCAGACACAGACAGTACACAACGCATGCACTGGCGGAACGCAGCTATGAGACTCGCAAAAATCAGGGTCGACTGAAGAGAGTAGCCCGGAGCTGTTGCATGCAGGATGTCCTCTTGTGACCTGCAGATTACAGCTCACCGCAGATTTGCAGTGGTCACATAGGTTGGTCCTCTTGCTGATGTTAGATAAACAGGGCAGTTGTACATGCCCGTAATGTCGGCCTCCTCAGTTGGTATGGCCTGCACTAGGAAGACGGGCATTGGGTACTGTAGAACCTTGGGCTGTGCTTGAGTAAGATTCCCTTCGAC